GGAGGACAGCTTTGCAGATACCTTAGACTTTGAGGAAGCTGAACAAATGGATCCTAGCGCAAATCAAGCCTGAATGATCCCTAGAGGCAAAAATGAAAGAGATGGAGGCAAAAAAAATAACGAGACTAACGTTGTCCTCTTTTGGGAAGATCATGAGAAGGCAAGAATTTCTGAAGAAGACAATAATGCTGGGAAAGGCTGAAGGCTGCAGGAAAAGAGGGAGGCCAAATACAAGATGGATCAGCACCCTAAAAGAAACCAGAAGCTGGAGTTTACAAGAGCTGAGGGTGGCTTTTGAAGCCAGGCCATTTTGGAGACCTGCTCAATCATGGGGTCACCATACGTTGGAGGTGACCTGATGTCACATAACAACAATTATCATGCTATTGAAAAAACTCACTTATGTAAAACCACTGGGCATTTTTTTTCAAAGGGAATTCTACATTAAAAAAATTAAAATCCTTTTCCCTAGTATCATTTTGACACTGTTTTATCTTTGACTTTTTTGGGGATTGGTGCTAGATTCCCTTATTTTTTCCTTTGACCGTATGAATAAGAAGGCAGTTCAAAGACTAACCACAGCTACTTCTTTCTCCCAAAGAGGGTCACCTAATTAATAAAAATTATGTGCCATTCCTACGTACGGTGAGCCCCCAAGGGTTGTATGGGATTATAAAGTACTGTACTCAGAAGTGTGTTTTCCGGTCCTTCTGTCTGGTGGCCCTCTGGGGGTGTATCGCTTGCCCAAGGCCACACAAGTGGTAGAGCACATAACCACACCAGTCACATATACTCCAGAAGATCTCTGGTGATCCATTTCCCAGTGGAAGTTCAAATTCCCTAACAGGTCAGGTTTCTCTTAACTCCATAAAACAGAAGTGAGGAACATGGGCGGCTTCAGAAATACAATTCCTATCACCCTTCACTATTTACTATGCTGGCTGGGGCTGATGAGAGTAATAGTCATACATCATTTCAGAGAGCTAAATGTCTCCCCAGCTGTGGTATCACATAACAAATCCTCTCCTGATTGTAAAAGGTTCAAAGATCACCTTGATCACCCATTTCTGCTACTCTTCCTGTTTTCCATCCCCTCACCCCCACTTTACAAAACATGTTAACAGGAACAGCCTTATCTAAATGGCTCGTGAACTGAGTTGCCTCTTGAAAGTGCATTCCTTCTATCTCTAATCCCTTTCAACTTTCAGGACAAAGAAAATAAGTGGATTAAAAAAAAGAAAGAAATAACCACAGCGCACAATTTATGGAACAATTTATGGACGTTGGCAAAAAAATCTCTCAATTGCTGGAAGAGGAACAGAGCTTTTGTCGAATTGGTTCTTGTGAGCTTTCTTCAAAGAGTTACCTCATATGCTCTCCTGGAGACGGAGCAGGATTTTGGAACACATTCCGGGCAGCATTTTCCAGCAGGCACAACTGGATTTTCACCCTAAAGGATCAATTGGGGGGGAGGAGAGGGAGGTCAGGGAGGGGGGAAAAAAGACACTAACATAAAAGAGAGATGATACCAAAGAGCACATCTAGGAAATGTTCCTGTTTGAGGACTATATCCCAGTATCCCCAATCCAGCAGACCTCTGAGAATTACAGTTCAAAAAAAAGTTGTACCATAAGAATCTGAGAGCTGCAGTGCCAAAGGTCACCGAAATTGTAGCCTAAATAAGTGAATTTTTCCATATCCGCCAGGAAAGTGAGCAGCTTGTTTGAAAATCTACACCTGTGCATTCTCTGCGCAAGTATGACGTCGAGATGGGCGTGAACCGCCAAACCGGTGGTTTGTGACCATTTGTTTTTCAGCCAATCAGTTCATTTTTCAGCCAATTAGAGGCAGGACCCAGAGAAGCTGAGTTAGGGAAGCCACGGTGCGGCCCCTGAGTGGGTGCCCACTAGAGAAGGTAGGGCCGGGAATCGCCGAACATCTGTTCGGCCGAAAAACGAACCAGCATGAACTACTGGTTCGACAGTTCTCGCCCATCTCTAGTATGGAGAGAGAAGGGCCAGCCCAAAATAAGTTTCTGCCTGAGGCAAAGGACAAAGTGACAGCTTTCTGTTCAAGGAATCGAATCCTGTTGGGATAGCATTTGAATCCTATTTCAAGTCTGGCAAGGGGATCAAGTTCAACTACATTCTTCCTTGAGACCTTCCATGCTCACCAAATGCCTGAAGGTGAAACCTGGTTTGGGGCACAACTAAGGGATACAGTGTTAAAGCTGAGAGAGAAGAGATTGGCACTTAAACCTCAAGCTTCTGATTTGGAAAGGGCTGAAGGATTCCATTGCAGGTCACACCATCACCAGTTTCCTCCAATTTCGGCATAAATTGAGTCCATACGCTATAGCATAGCAAGGTACCAGATTTCCTTGCATGACCCCCCACGACAGAAACATATTTATTACTATTTATTGTTAATCCATTTCATTTCTGCATCACCTTTCCACATATAGGGACTCAAAGCAATTCACAACAATTAAAATGCGAGCAAGTTTAAAAGGACAATAAATTATTCAATCAAAAACAATTAGCCATCCAACAGGATAAAAATTAATAACCAAAAAAACTTTAAAAACACTTTTAAAGAATACCATAACCAAGATCTCTGGGAGAGTCTAGTTTTAATGCCTGATGTAGTGGTTAAAAGTCTATTTTAAAAGGATGGGATGTGGTGGCGCTGCGGGTTAAACCGCAGAAGCCTCTGTGCTGCAAAGTCAGAAGACTAGCCGTCGTAAGATCGAATCCACGCGACAGAATGAGCTCCTGTTGCTTGTCCCAGCTTCTGCCAACCTAGCCGTTCAAAAGCATGCAAATGCAAGTAGATAAATAGGGACCACCTCGGTGGGAAGGAAACAGCATTCCGTGTCTATTCACGCTGGCCACATGACCACGGAAGATTGTCTTCAGACAAACGCTGGCTCTATGGGTTGGAAACAGAGATGAGCACCGCCCCCTAGAGTCGGACACAACTGGACAAATTTTCAAGGGGAACTTTTACCTTTACCTTAAAAAGGATAATCTTCGCCTTTCATCCGAAAAAACAAGAATGGCAGCCTAGACTCTTATGGGGAGGGGGGAAATTCCACAACCCGGGAGCAGCCACAGAGAAAGCTCTGCCTCACATTTCCATCAAACATGTCCATAAAGGCAGTGGAACTAAGAGAAGAGCATATACAAACATTACGAATTCCTGCTGGTGTATAAGTAGTGGATCTTTTATTTCTTCCAGGTGGAAAGAAAATGAAAACAAAAACAAACGAAAAACACAGTTTTAGAAATTGACAACAAATTTCTGTTGTTTTTCCTGGTGGCCATGGCAATGTCACCAGTATCAACAGCAGTTTTAGTGGCAATCATTAAACAGGAGCAACTGGGGCTGTGAGAACTTGCCTGGGGGTACATGTTTCCTACTCCATTCTAATTCTTTGAATGTTCTGTGATTTTTGTGTGTGGTGTCTTTAGTATAAATTTTGAATTAATTTTTAGTTTAATATTGGACAGTCTTGAACAACCACCCACCACCTCCACCATCAACCTCTAGAGAACATGAAATAAAAATCAGAAGGTTGAAAGATCAGATCTTCACTTAAGATCTAGGCAGGAAGTCATTGCTGAGAGTAAAGTGGAGGCAAACCCAGCCACAGAACTTGACAGAACTTGGGCGAGTTAATTTTTGAGACTACGACTCCCAGCATTCTCCAGCCATGCTGATCACTGACCATGCTGACTGCAGGATTTTGGGAGACAGAATTCCAAAAAGTAGGCATGACACAGGTAGTAGCGATGTGGATATAAAGAAAACCTACTCAGTTCCTTGTTGACAGGGTTTCTGCAATTTGTGAAAAGTGTCTCTGTGGTAATCTATGTAAAACTAGTACGCTTTCTTTTGAAAAGCAAAACACACACATACACACGCACAACCCAAACTTTTAAAAGGAGGATTTTTAAAAGATGCAAATAACTCCTTCTAATTGTTAAATGCCCACACAACAAGAGCAGATATTGCAGTTTTACACCATTTACACAACCTGTGCAATTATTTGCAAGTGACACAATTTGTTCAAATTGCACAAATTGCACAAAAATTGAGTCAATAGCTCCAGAAGATATTTTGCTCTTCTGCAAGGCAAGAAGAAAATTTTTGCTATTTCTCATCCTTGAGTGTAAGGATGAGACTGGCAAGTATTTTATACTCCTAACTAGAAGCCCCCAACATCTGCCTTTCTTCATATCTTTCACTTTTTAATGGACATTTTCCTGGCACAGGAAAAAAGCACTGGGGGGGGGGGAGAGAAAGAGAGAAACGGGCAGGTTACAATTCCCACTATTAAGATTGATGGGCTTTCCCACAGAGTATCTTATTATGGAAATCTATCAAAGATTGTTAGAATTAGCTAAAGGCTGGAGGTTGCATTAGAGATTTGCTATCTGATTATTCACACCCTCCTTGTGTCACCTGTAAATTTCTTCCATGTTTAATGACATTCTAACGACTGGCTGATAAATATTAGTGTGATCCATTGCAGAATAATGGCAGATTGAAGAGTGAGGTGGAAACATTTAGATATTTTCCATAAATTTGTTCTAAGGCTCATTTCTTTTAACTCTTCATCTTTGCTGCACTGCTGAGCAAACGCAAAGCACATTTTCGAAACCTCCCCCAGTTTTTTTTTTAAAGAAAAGTTTATATACCTTCATTGGAAAGGAGCGGGCATTACTAACATGAACATCTGGGTCCTTATAACATAGGTGGGAGAATTGAAAGAGAGAGGATTTACGACATGAACATGATGACAAGAATATTTGCCGCCTGTCTAAGCTGCCCGCATTTCTGTTAACCTGGATGACTAAACCCATACATTAAGGAATCATTTTTGTTGAATGTAAAAACAGGAATGTGCTGAACAGCAAAAGGGAATATGGCTTTTCTAAGACCAACTGCCTGGCGTCAATGTTAAAAAAAGAGCTGAGCAGGTTTGGAGGGGAAGGGCAATCCACCGACAATTTCCCAGAGATCGGAAGGGATACTTTTCTGGACAATAAATCCCAGAATTTGCATGTGGGACACTGGAAGCTGTATTCCTCCCCCCTCCCCTGAAAAAAAAAAGCTTTCCCATACTCTACAATATCCCAGCTGTATTGAGGCCAAAACTAGAACTAGATAATATAGTACATATTTCAAAGGGGTGCTCACTCAAGTGGTGAATGACATCTCTCTGTCACAGTAAACCATTTTCCTCACTTACATACCTTGGAATGAGCTTATGTTTGGGGATTGGTCCCTGGAAAGTAACCAAACTAACCTGGCTACTTCTCTGGAATGTTTTGTTTTATCCATTTTTAGAGTTAAAAGGTACATGTAGCTTCACTATTTAGATGTGTGTTTGTATCTCAGGATACTAACTTGTAGCATTCTGGTATTTTACAAAGCAAGCTCCATGTTTATCCTCATACTGTACCTTAAGATTACGGTGTCAACGCATACTGGCTGTTGATTATTTATTTATGTGGCTCAAATCATGCATTTCATGAGCTTTTCAGTGCTGAGGTGGTGGTGTAGAGTCTAAATATTATTTTTGCCTATCAAACCTTTTTTCATTTCTTTCCTTTGAAACTCCTCCCTTATGAACTCCTTTCTCTGCCACGTTGAAAAACATTAGCACTCCAATCCTTGGCGCTCTGATGCTTTCTGGGTGTCTTCCTAACCCATTGTTGTCCTTCTCTGGTCTGTTGCCCTCATTAGGAGTGGCACAGCAAATGTGGGCAAATGTCCCAGTTGCATCTCAGTGGCACCCAAACCCAAACCGCATCTCCATCATTGGCTTAAAAACAGTCTATCTCCCCTCGAGAAACGTCCAGGGAAGTGATTTTCAGCTCAGGATGTTGCGGTTCTTCTCCACGACCCTCATCTCTCTTCATAAAACCACACACCAGAAAGTGACTGCGCCAATCTAGACACTCCCTGTCCATTTGTTCATTTATTTGTCCAAGACAGCCATTTCTAGGCCCAGTGAAGCCCAACAGTGAGGCAGGGTGGCAAGACTTTGGCCCGAAGGTGACCGAGTTCACAACCACCCCCACCCCTAGCAGATAAAGTATGACAATGCTGCAATCTTATTCTAATTATTATTTTTAGTAATGACAAGACTTTTGTCTGGACAGCAACCCACCTCATTATTTATTTTTCAGAAACCTACTAAAATGCACAGTAGTTGGCAGCACGCGCAGTCTTACCTCGTTGCATATAAGAGGCTGACAAGATGCAGTAAAACACTCCGCAGTCCCATTCTGACAAACACACTTGGCACAACGGCTGGGGCGCCACTCCTCATGATCCTGGAACGTTTGGCCATCAAAAGAGCAGGCCTCTGGAAGAAATGGAAGACAAGTGTGTTGGTATCCTTGAATCCTCATGGAATATTCCAGAGTTAGTAAGCACACTCATTTTCTTTTTTCACAGGGAAAATGCACCACAAGGTGAGGTATTTGTGTATTGCATCTATAGTACTGGGGAAAGTCTTTGGAGCCCCAGGAATGGTAGAAGGGGGCAGCCTTGAATACAGGGTAGCCACCATCAGAGGTGCCAAGGGCTGACATTTCCTTATGCATGTGCAGACATCAGGATGAACACACAAGCAGAGGAGCCAAACATGCTGTCCCCATTTCCAGCATCTACACGTTCAGTCAAATATCCTTGTCGAAGTCAATATGCAATAAGACATGCAAAGCATTTTCTGCACGCAGACACCTTCCTAAACATAGGTAAAGGTAAAGGTTCCCCTTGACATTTAGTCCAGTTGTGTCCGACTCCAGGGCGCGGTGCTCATCTCCGTTTCCAAGCCGTAGAGCCAGCGTTTGTCCAAAGACAGTTTCCATGGCCACGTGGCTAGCACGACTAGACACGGAACGCCGTTACCTTCCCACCACGGTGGTACCTATTTATCTACTCACATTTATATGCTTTCGAACTGCTAGGTTGGCAGGAGCTGGGACAAGCGACGGGAGCTCCCTCCGTCGTGTGAATTCGATCTTACGACTGCTTGGTCTTCTGACCTTGCAGCACAGAGGCTTCTGTGGTTTAACCCACAGCACCACCACATCCTTGAGCTTATATGAAAAGCCATAAATTCAGGCACAGGAATAAAGTAGACGGTCAAGGAAACATGTCTTTCCTGCTCTTTCAACATTCTCTACTTTATATGCATGTTTCCAGAATTAGATGTGCAATTTACATCCACGTCTCCAGAATTAGGTGTGTGCATATGAGCTAAAGGGACAACAATCCAGAGATAGAGGGACAGCATTCATGTGGTTCCTTTTAATGTATTTCCAGAAATTACGTCCTTTTCACCATCTGAAGGTGTGTTATTCCTAGATATAGGATCTTTGCAATGTCTAGTGAGGGCCCCAGATTATATGTAAATAGATTTTCTCCCACCAATCTTCTCAGAAAGATACGATTTTATCATTTAGTGTTGGTCTGAGCACATATGCAACAACAGACGGCATAAATTTTCAAGACTCAGCCCGTCCCACTTCTTTCTCTCACCTCCACTGCCAGCACATTGAGGGCAGCATGCTCCTTGGGCCACCACTTCACCCCTCTCACAAGAAATGACTGGGCAAGGCTTGGGGGCACAAACCACTTTCCCATTGACGCAAGAGCAGGTTGTACATCCACTGCCAGCCCATTCGGTACCATGCTAGAAGAGGAAGACAGAGTAATGAGACGTATTATCCAACTGTTGACAACTGAAGGAGAGGAAGACCCTTTACAGCCTTAGCCTGCCTTTTATCCCCCCAACCCCATGATCGTCATGCCAAGAGTATCAGTTTAGTATAATGGTTGCATTGCTTCCAGTTATAGTTGTTTTGGGGTGTTGGGGAGGGGAGTGTCTCTGCCAAAATGGTGGTCAAAATCTCCCCGTTTGAGTTCAAGCTATCTCTAGGACTGTGTGTCTCCCATTATGAGCTTGCTTGAGTATTAAGATCATTGGGGAGGTCTTGCTCTCCATCCCACATCCTGCAATATCTGCCTCTGTTAACTCTGGAAAAGCTCCAGCAAATACACAAGGGGCCATTGACCATGTAAACAAGACAAGAAGAGTCTAGTCTCTATTACCATGCGGAAGATCTGAATAGCTGAGGTTGGGAGGCTTCCCCAGACCTGCTTCCTGGAAAGGCCACTGAAAGCACTGGTGTGAAGCACAACTACTGGGATTCTAGAAGAACAGACAGCTAGCCAGGCAGCTGTCTCCTTTTCCACGAAACACCATTCCATTCATCCTTACCCCGACTTTCTCATCCCCCTCCCAAAACATGTTCTTTCTTCTTTAGCAACCAAATACATTCATGTCCTGACTGCGTTGTTTGTGCATTTCTCTAACTCCCAGCACTTCCCTCTTCCAGCGAGGATAGGAATGATGAGGGGTCATTTTTGTTTTCCATGGGTTCTAAAAGTGTGCCTGCAATTAAAGGCCTTTTGATAATCGCATACTGATTTTTGCAGCAAGAATGCCAAAGGCTCCTTCTGTGACCCAGTTGGTAGCCAGAATAGGCCAGTGCTTGCCCCAATCTTCAGGTATCTGGCCAAAAGTTAATTCACGGCAATAATTTTGGTTAGGTCATGTGTGGAGCCGCATAAGATTTCTCCGACCTACTTCCCTGAACACAAGAACGAGACAAAAAACCTAAAGCTGCCAAAGAATCGGCTTGAGCTGAGACATGCAACCCTTTATTGGTATGAACGAGGCCAACGCTCACAGGCCGTTGGACTTCTCTAAGCAACTCTGGCACAGCATCCAAATAACCTGATCTTGCTTACTTGGGCTATATTTTCCAATACAAACAACTCAGAAAGTTTCTCCATCAAAAATAAACATGTTCTCATCAAAGATCTAAGGCAGAAAACACAAGAAGAAAGCAATAGATTGAAAAGGAATATATAAGAAAGGCTTACTTCATGGACTCGTCCTTCATGCTCACAAAATCCCTCTGTTTGGGAAACACATTTAGGGCAGCAAGCATTGGGGGCAATGTGAAGCACTTCTCCCTGCGCGCAAGAAAAAAATGATCTGGGTGTAAGGAATCAGTTTATCTGGAAACACAATCCAGGAATCTGTTCCTTCCAAGTCCACAGTCTAGAATGAGGTATCCAGTAATCTGCTTTAATTAACATCCGAGGAAAGGGATCTGTCTAGCCTCATTTGCCATTTCTGACTCTCTCTTCACATCGCGAGCACCCACGGGAACAAGTGAGCCTCCTCTGTACATGCTAATGAAGTGACCTGCTGCCCATGTCAAATAAAACTTGTTCATCTTTTAGGTAAATTTAGAAGAGGAAAGGTGTCCAAAGAATGACACAGAATACAGTGGTGCCTCACTAGACGATGATAATCCGTTCCACTGAAATCGCTGTTTAGCGAAATCATTATTTAGCGAAAAGCATTCCCCCATTGGAATGCACTGAAACCTGTTTAATGCGTTCCAATGGGGAAGAATCATTGTTGTCTAGCAAAGATCGGCCACAGGAAAGCCACTTTGCGAACCACCGATTAGCTGTTTGAATAGCTGTCTTGCGAAGCTTAGGTCCCGAAAACACCTGTTTGCGAGCACAGAGGGAGTTGTTTTTTGCGAAGCAGGGACCAAAAATTGTCCAGCGAAATTCCCCCATAGGAATCACTGTTTTGCGAATCGCTATAGTGATTGCAAAAAGCTAATGTCTAGCGAAAAAAACTGTCATGAGGGGTAACTGTCTAGCCTGGCGCCACTGTATAGTTCGGCTGATGATGCTAAGCCTGAAGCCACCCAGGTTAAGAGACGGCTTGATCGTAGACAAGAAAGAGGTGCAACTCCTCAGTAACGGGAGGCTGCTAAATTCTGCTGATGATGCTAAGCCTGAAGCCGCCCAGGTTAAGAGATGGCTTGATCATAGAGAAGAAAGAGTGCAACTCCTCAGTAACGGGAGGCTGCTAAAGCATCACCAAAAATGAAGCAATAGTTTAGCTAAAAAGAAGACGGCAGGCATCTGACTTTTATTAGATTTATATATGCTAAGCAATACGTACAGGTGTACCTTTAAAAAATAAATGACTTCAGTTTCAAGAGAACAACCAGAACTTGGAAAAGATGGACTATGACTCCTAGCATCAACACGCTGGATGGGGTTACTCCAAAGTTTTTGAAAAAGTAATGTTTCCAGCTCTCATCTTCTGGAAATACTAAAACTTGGTCATGTTGGCTAGAGTATTCTGGAAGTTAGAGCTTTCCAAAAGTAACTTTTCTGTACTCCGGGAAAAACAATAACGGAGGTGTGCAGATTGGTGCTTTCGGACGACAATTCCTGTGCTGCTGGTCGCTTTGCAGTTGTTTTCTACCATTTCGGCAGGGTTTTTTTCTAATTTGCTCTGGAGATGCCAAGTTTTATCAAGACCTGCTTCGGTGAGCAGGTTTCAGATTTTGATACCACAGCTACATTCATCACAACAGTCAGAATTAGGGCTGCTTACTACTAACATTCTGAAATGTTACTTCTTCAGATTGCAACTTCAAGAAACCAAGCTAGCCATATGAACTGCGGGTTGTAGTATATCTACTCTGCACTGCTAAAGGAAAAAGTAGCAAACCACATGTTATCCACTGTACGACGGTTGCATTTCTGCTGGATGAGGTCAAAAGTTCCTTAGATATTTTCTGCCCAAAAAAAAAACTTGTATAACTTTAGGAAGACTGTATTTTCGTTTGGATGAGCAGTGACACCCTTTACTCTTTTGTATCAGGCAGCAAAATCACTTCCTTGGTAGGGCTAAACCTCAAACGCTTGGCATGCAAGAGCTGCTTGACCCAAATGAACGCAACGCCATCACAGGGCAGATGGCACACTGTGGCCTTACCTTCCGGACGTTGCACCGTGGGTTTTTGCAAACAACGGCGTCGCACAGGGTAAAGTCGCCATGGCAACGACACTCTTGGCATGAGTCCGGCTTCCAGACGGTGTTGTTCTGCAAACAAATCCAAAGCTCTCAATTAAAATTGCATTATGGAAGTGCTAACGCTGCATGCCGTTCCAGAATAGTGAAGAGTTGAAATGAATTTACTTGGGGGGGGGATGGGGGCTTATGTTATAGAGGCAAACTTGGCATCGTGGTCTATGTTCTACACGCTGATTAGTACCTGTGGCTATAATAAGTCCAAAGCCGTTCATTTCATACTTCCAAAAGATATAATCAAAAGGGTCCGGCCGAAGATGAAAAGCAATCAATTCCATCTGCAAAGTAATTGATCCGCCTAAACCCCGGTAGCTACAATCTGATTAGCGTTTGCCTCTCCCATGCAGCACCGACTTCTATAAACAGACTAGGTCTGGGAATTTAACAGCTACCAAAGGTACTTTTGATGCTCTGTTCCTATTAAAATTAATGCGCTAGAAAGATTACCTGGGGTGTTACAACTGCTACTACAGATGGGGAGAGGCTAAGAAGACGGGGAGTTTGCTGGTTGCAAAGGAGACAGGGAACATGATAGATCAGGGGAAATTCTGAATTGACTGTGTAAATATACATATATCCTTTAGTCTTCAGTAGAATACATAATACATAATTTTTTACATGGGTGGAATATAATGGGCACTTCTGCAAACACAAGGCTGATGGCCTCTTCAGCCACAGCTTATGTTTAATTAAAAAATTCCTTCCCCCCTCCCACCAACTTCATTTCTGAGGCTCCGTAAGGATCCCTGACATGCACAAAGATAACCCAACAGGATTTGGGCCAACATGTACTTTTTGCACAAGCTTTCCCAGCTTGTATCTAGGGAATACCTTATCCCTTGGAGCTTTAAACAAATAAAAGAGCTGAGATAAAACTGGACAGACGGACGGACGGATGGGTTAGTCAATGGACGGACGGACGGACGGACGGACGGGTTGCCCATCTAGTGGTAAGCCATTATTCTGGATGGCTAACAACAATTATCCTGAATTTGTTTACTTTCATTTTTTAAAATTTATTTTGATTTTGGAATGTTGTGTGCTTACTTTTATTCGTTTTAGAGCCTTGCCAGGCCAGCAGAAGGACAACAAATAAATGCTTTAAACAGCTTTGGGCACTAGGCAGGTGCGTGCAAAAATCTCCAAAATATGATTTTTAAGGCACCAGGGCATTCTACCCACCTAGGCAGCTGTTGGTGCTCAGGTTGTAACCCCTTTCCAAATGCTGCCTACAGCCACATGGCCTAACAAGAGGGCTTATGGAATATATATATAAAGACTCTGCCAAAGCCTCTTCTTTAATTCAAACTGAAACTGAACAGTCATTCAAAGACAGGACTGTCCTCTCTAAATTAGGTCAGACAGTCACCCCAACTGTACAAGTTACTAATTGCAGCACATCAATTAGAAGTAAAGACTACTTCAAGCACATTACTGTATTATTATTATGGATTTATGGGGGCATTTGTACAGATCTTGTAGGCAGATTTCCATGTGTTCTGCTATAATGAATGGAAACAGACACCAACATCAAATTATGATAGGCATGTGTTGAGGTTAGACCTCTAATAAACCACAGTACTTTCCAACTAAGGCCGTTCTTATACAATATTCCATTGTAAATCATCAGCTGTACTAAAATCCAAAGTTTTGTTCCTACAAACATACGAATATCTTGATCCAGGAACACGGTTGTACCTGATAATGATCACATCCAGTGATCAGGTGCATGCTGGGGCATCTACTAACCCAAACACATTAACTTGTCTAAAAGGTGATCAGCTGCATGCTGGGGCATTTACCGGTACTAACCCAAACACATTAACTTGTCTAAATAAAGGATTTGAATCAAAGGGGTGTGCAATGGTGTGATATAGGTGGAGGGCAGTGGGTGCAATGTTGATCCCAATTAACATGCCTCATCCATGTGCATTCATTTATATATGAAAACCCGATGACCAGAATCCTGTTAGGAAAAGTGACGTATAACACCCCCTGGGCATGACACTTGCATGATGTCCAGCTCACAGTTGTGTGAGCCACTTTATTTAAAGCAACAGTGAATACCTCACTGCAGAAACTATTAAAAAAGCACAAGCAATCACGCTATAGACTCTTGCATTAGCAATACAAACAAGGCAGATTCTGCTCCCTGAAGGGTAGAATATCAAGTATGGACCGACCATACATGCTGATGTTTCTCTATCATTATACCCCAACTATGGATTCTGATAAACCAGAATATGAAATAAATCAATACTACATGATATAAAAAAATAGTTTTCAATGTTTGCTTCTTAGGTACCATATTTTCCGTGTATAAGACACCCCCGAATAAATCAATACTACATGATATAAAAATTTAGTTTTCAGTGTTTGCTTCTTAAATACCATATTTTTCTGTGTATAACACGCCCCCTTGTATAAGACACCCCCCACTTTTCTAATCCAAAATTAAGAAATCTAGCAAGTGTAGGGGGAAAAGGGATAAAAGCACTGCAGAATCGCTTTGATTCCTGCTTTCCCTTCCACCTGTTTTCTCTCCTCAACGTACTTCCATGTATAAGACGACCCTCAATTTTTAGTCTAAAGATTTTAAACAAATGTATAGTCTTATACATGGAAAAATACAGTAGATAACGCTTAATGTCTCCACCACGAGGTGCAGGAATGAGAAAACTTGGAAGAGTACAAGGGGGTGCTGATAAGTATTGAGCCTTTCCCAGAAAAAAAATGGAGCTACGGTGTATTGGCTAATTTGTCTGTATTCAATGGTGCAAAAATCAACTGTACCTATGATTTTAACCTATCTTTCATGTTCGCAGCAGTCATCTCACTACTAGCATCAGACTATGTTGCATAACTCACAATCAATTTTACCTGCACGGAAAGAGGCTATGGGCTTACTATGTGCTACGGGTAAATGTATGAAATTCAGCCCAAGTTTAATTTATTTTTTTCAAATGAAACACAGCTTCAGAAGCAGATTATTCAGAGAGAAGAAGCAGCGAGGAGTAAGAACAATAAGCCCTGTCTCTATCAAATGTTCCTTTGCACTCCAGATACCTCTCACCCAACAATGGGCAAGACCGTGAAAGGAGCTGATTCTGGGATAGAGATTACAAAGAGAGAAATGGCAGAGGGAAAAGATTTAAACACACACTACTTCTGTGTGCTAAGCAGTCCTCTTCCAAAACTGCTGTTCATTTAAAAGGTGACCCTAAGGCTCAATTCTATGCATTTGCTCAATGGATTTCTCAGATATTTTTCCCATCCCTGCTCAAAAACTGCCCAGCTACATAATCCCAAAATCCACTAATTCCCTAGACTGTTCCTTAGGTTGACCTCTGGTTAAAGCTTCACTCACCTGATTTACATGTACAAGAGCAGCACAGTATTTTCTGTAGTATTGACACAAGTTGTACTTGCAAAATTATTTTTGTGCAAACTGCACCAACTGGGTAGCTGGACTTCAAAAACGGATGCCTTGTTACATAAAATTTCTAAAATGTGAAGCATCGAATTGGTTATTTGCTTCTTTTTGATCAGTTTGCTAGTCTTCCTGTGTTTGTTGATCCACAAGGGGAAAAGGCAGTAGCTTTGCACAGACACATTTTGTACAAGTTGTGGAAATGTGAACTGAAAAAAAGGCTTCTTATCTCATTCTTACACTGGAGGAGAAATCACATGGGGTGAGCAATTTCTCAGCTGAGACAACCTGCTTCATTAAGGATGAGTTATTTTGCCATAATTTTGCATATCCCTAGCTCCTACTACAGGGAATATATAAATTCCCATGCTTCAGCAACATTGTGACTTAGAAAGGGAATAGGAAACACAACACTCCAGATATTGTTGAACTACAGCTCCCATCAGTCTCAGCTAACGTGGCCATCAAGGAGGTATATTGGAACTTGGCACTCATTAATAACTCCTCAGCCCAAAAAATAAGGTGTCAATGACAATCCACATCTATTGGAAAAATTTCCTGTCAAGTATTGGAAATCATTGGTTCAAAGTCTTTTGTTTCTGGTCAGCCTGTTAGATAGTGTCGGCCCTACCATTAGAGTGCTTTGTCTTGAGTAAAAAGACAGTACTGGGGCATTTGCTTGTTTCCAAGGCATGAACAGGGCGGAACCAGGATCCCTGAACCCAGCATTCATGTGTCACAATTAGAAGAAAGGAAAGAGAACAAAATCCAGGAGCATTAAAGAGAGTAAAGCTCTTTATTTTAGAAACGAACCTTCTTTGCTTCTCCCATTGTCAATTCACTGACTGGATCAGCAAAGTCTTGGAGCTGCGACACCACTGATTTCAGTTGCAAAGGAAATGGAAGGGGAAGAGAGAAAGTTCAATAAGTGTAGAGAAGAGCACGCTCTTTGCATTGCCCTTTTAAGAAGAAATTTAAAAGAATCACGATTATTGCCCTTTTAAAATCCTACACTCACTCTCTTCCTGGTGACTGCCTTAAGAATCTGCCAGGAGCTTTCTCTCAGTGGCTGGAATTGAAGATACAAAACAGAGTACTCTGGTCGGCAACTATTGACCAGAGAAGTCCTTCCTGCCCTGTTCAGGCTACGGACTGGCCTTGCCACTGGAGTTTCTCATTTCCAGGAAACGGATCTTTATGGAGAACTAGAAATGCACAAACACTGCCCCAAATTTGAGCAAGAATCCTGTTGGAGAGTCTCCAAAAAGGCACAGGACCAGTGGGTCCTGATCAGTTCAACCTTTCCTTTGGCCATAGAGTGGCTCTGGTGCGTCCCTGGTTCATAAGATTCAGAAGAAACATGTATACTCCGTAACTGTATGGTAAAGCTGCTAAAATTCCTCCTTCTGTATAGCTTCTTAAAGGCATAGGATCCCCATTAACATTTGTGTCTGGCCACCTATTAACATGCCCATTTCCCCCAGACAGCATCTGTTTGCAGATGGATTAATTTCCTTATGCCTCCCCCCCCCCAATCACCTTTTGGGACACAGCTGATTTGTACAGCTGTAAGAAAAGCGGT